GTATCAATTTTGAGTAAATTAGCGTCCTTAAATTTCGAAATATTGAAGTTTCAAGCGATTCTAAAATTTACTGTTATATGAAAAGCGTCCGTAATTTTAGTCCGATTTCAACAATTTTCAACATTTTGCTTCTATGTGGCATGCACAATAACCACGTCGAGTTTGATACAAATTTGTAGAACGGTTACCGAGATACATGTATGTGATCATAAGTGGGCGGTGNCATATACACATTTTTTAATTTCATTAATTTTTAGAAATCTTATTGCTAAAAGAAAAACGAAATAACTCTAAGAATTGCTCGTTAGCAGATCTTTCAATTAGTCTTTCAAACGAGAGGACAGAGTTTTCAAGACAGTTGCCAGAGTTGACTTTTGCCTTTCGAAAGACTGTAGTGAGTTGAAAGACAGTTAAATTCAGAGAATAAAAATAATAATTTGGAAATTTACGAATGCAGTATATGTAATGTTACGTACATATCATTTTCTTAATGAAGGTAACAAGAAAACATTAAGTGGTTCAAGAATTTGATTGATTATGAATAATTTTTCGAATTTCATCGTTTTATTAAAAAAAAATTTGATATTTCCGAGTTCTTGCATGATGCTCAAGAATATGTACATATGTATATTTTTCCCTTACGGAGTCTGCTTCCAATAGTTCTCCACAGTTTCCACAGCAGTGTTTGGCGAGTCCTTAGATCAACTCCTGGGTCTACATAGATTTACTGATTTCAATTGTCAACCCAAAATTTCATTAATACACATATGAGTTTTGAGAGTATGAAATTACGACAATATCTAAAACCGTATCATCATTACGTTATAAAAAATAGCCTGCTCTACTAAATGACATTGTTTAAATTATTAATATTTTATTCAATGAAAATAATTGCGAAAAATCAAACAATATGGATATAAGATCTACTCAAAGAGAGGTCTTTCACTTGTGCTTTCAAAAGCCACAAAAATGCTTTCAAGATCCATAGTCATTAAAATACAAAATTCATATGAAATATTTTAGTATCTCGAAAGACTAGAGGGAGTTGTAAGTTAGTTGCTATGATTGCCTTATAAAAAATCAACAGAGAAAACTTAGACTTTTTATCAAAATTTGTTGATTTTTTTTTAATAATGCAGAAAGTTTAAAGCTTGTTTTAAATGGTTTTTGCTAAAGCATAAACTATGTTTTTATACAAAGATAATACAAATAACACA